TGAGACTTTGACCTGAGTGCAAAAATGGAGGCTCTAGACCCTTCCAGAGCTGAGATATCAAAATTCAAAATTTCGACCCGAAAAAAAAACGACAGTGTTACCCCTTTTGTTTTTTTTTCATTTTCGGGCGAAAAATTAAGTTTCTCCAATCTTCTCAAAACTCTGGATTATGATAGAGGGCTGTGAGACTTTGACCTGAGTGCAAAAATGGAGGCTCTAGACCCTTCCAGAGCTGAGATATCGAAATTCAAAATTTCGACCCGAAAAAAAAACGACAGTGTTACCCCTTTTGTTTTTTTTCATTTTCGGGCGAAAAATTAAGTTTCTCCAATCTTCTCAAAACTCTGGATTATGATAGAGGGCTGTGAGACTTTGACCTGAGTGCAAAAATGGAGGCTCTAGACCCTTCCAGAGCTGAGATATCAAAATTCAAAATTTCGACCCGAAAAAAAAACGACAGTGTTACCCCTTTTTTTTTTTTCATTTTCGGGCAAAAAATTAAGTTTCTCCAATCTTCTCAAAACTCTGGATTATGATAGAGGGCTGTGAGACTTTGACCTGAGTGCAAAAATGGAGGCTCTAGACCCTTCCAGAGCTGAGATATCAAAATTCAAAATTTCGACCCGAAAAAAAAAACGACAGTGTTACCCCTTTTGTTTTTTTTCATTTTCGGGCAAAAAATTAAGTTTCTCCAATCTTCTCAAAACTCTGGATTATGATAGAGGGCTGTGAGACTTTGACCTGAGTGCAAAAATGGAGGCTCTAGACCCTTCCAGAGCTGAGATATCGAAATTCAAAATTTCGACCCGAAAAAAAAAACGACAGTGTTACCCCTTTCGTTTTTTTTCATTTTCGGGCGAAAAATTAAGTTTCTCCAATCTTCTCAAAACTCTGGATTATGATAGAGGGCTGTGAGACTTTGACCTGAGTGCAAAAATGGAGGCTCTAGACCCTTCCAGAGCTGAGATATCGAAATTCAAAATTTCGACCCGAAAAAAAAACGACAGTGTTACCCCTTTCGTTTTTTTTCATTTTCGGGCGAAAAATTAAGTTTCTCCAATCTTCTCAAAACTCTGGATTATGATAGAGGGCTGTGAGACTTTGACCTGAGTGCAAAAATGGAGGCTCTAGACCCTTCCAGAGCTGAGATATCGAAATTCAAAATTTCGACCCGAAAAAAAAAACGACAGTGTTACCCCTTTCGTTTTTTTTTCATTTTCGGGCGAAAAATTAAGTTTCTCCAATCTTCTCAAAACTCTGGATTATGATAGAGGGCTGTGAGACTTTGACCTGAGTGCAAAAATGGAGGCTCTAGACCCTTCCAGAGCTGAGATATCGAAATTCAAAATTTCGACCCGAAAAAAAAACGACAGTGTTACCCTTTTGTTTTTTTTCATTTTCGGGCGAAAAATTAAGTTTCTCCAATCTTCTCAAAACTCTGGATTATGATAGAGGGCTGTGAGACTTTGACCTGAGTGCAAAAATGGAGGCTCTAGACCCTTCCAGAGCTGAGATATCAAAATTCAAAATTTCGACCCGAAAAAAAAACGACAGTGTTACCCCTTTCGTTTTTTTTCATTTTCGGGCGAAAAATTAAGTTTCTCCAATCTTCTCAAAACTCTGGATTATGATAGAGGGCTGTGAGACTTTGACCTGAGTGCAAAAATGGAGGCTCTAGACCCTTCCAGAGCTGAGATATCAAAATTCAAAATTTCGACCCGAAAAAAAAAACGACAGTGTTACCCCTTTTGTTTTTTTTTCATTTTCGGGCAAAAATTAAGTTTCTCCAATCTTCTCAAAACTCTGGATTATGATAGAGGGCTGTGAGACTTTGACCTGAGTGCAAAAATGGAGGCTCTAGACCCTTCCAGAGCTGAGATATCGAAATTCAAAATTTCGACCCGAAAAAAAAACGACAGTGTTACCCCTTTCGTTTTTTTTCATTTTCGGGCGAAAAATTAAGTTTCTCCAATCTTCTCAAAACTCTGGATTATGATAGAGGGCTGTGAGACTTTGACCTGAGTGCAAAAATGGAGGCTCTAGACCCTTCCAGAGCTGAGATATCAAAATTCAAAATTTCGACCCGAAAAAAAAACGACAGTGTTACCCCTTTCGTTTTTTTTCATTTTCGGGCGAAAAATTAAGTTTCTCCAATCTTCTCAAAACTCTGGATTATGATAGAGGGCTGTGAGACTTTGACCTGAGTGCAAAAATGGAGGCTCTAGACCCTTCCAGAGCTGAGATATCGAAATTCAAAATTTCGACCCGAAAAAAAAACGACAGTGTTACCCCTTTCGTTTTTTTTCATTTTCGGGCGAAAAATTAAGTTTCTCCAATCTTCTCAAAACTCTGGATTATGATAGAGGGCTGTGAGACTTTGACCTGAGTGCAAAAATGGAGGCTCTAGACCCTTCCAGAGCTGAGATATCGAAATTCAAAATTTCGACCCGAAAAAAAAAACGACAGTGTTACCCCTTTCGTTTTTTTTCATTTTCGGGCGAAAAATTAAGTTTCTCCAATCTTCTCAAAACTCTGGATTATGATAGAGGGCTGTGAGACTTTGACCTGAGTGCAAAAATGGAGGCTCTAGACCCTTCCAGAGCTGAGATATCAAAATTCAAAATTTCGACCCGAAAAAAAAAACGACAGTGTTACCCCTTTCGTTTTTTTTCATTTTCGGGCAAAAATTAAGTTTCTCCAATCTTCTCAAAACTCTGGATTATGATAGAGGGCTGTGAGACTTTGACCTGAGTGCAAAAATGGAGGCTCTAGACCCTTCCAGAGCTGAGATATCGAAAATTCAAAATTTCGACCCGAAAAAAAAACGACAGTGTTACCCCTTTCGTTTTTTTTCATTTTTCGGGCGAAAAATTAAGTTTCTCCAATCTTCTCAAAACTCTGGATTATGATAGAGGGCTGTGAGACTTTGACCTGAGTGCAAAAATGGAGGCTCTAGACCCTTCCAGAGCTGAGATATCGAAATTCAAAATTTCGACCCGAAAAAAAAAACGACAGTGTTACCCTTTCGTTTTTTTTCATTTTCGGGCGAAAAATTAAGTTTCTCCAATCTTCTCAAAACTCTGGATTATGATAGAGGGCTGTGAGACTTTGACCTGAGTGCAAAAATGGAGGCTCTAGACCCTTCCAGAGCTGAGATATCGAAATCAAAATTTCGACCCGAAAAAAAACGACAGTGTTACCCCTTTCGTTTTTTTCGTTTTCGGGCGAAAAATTAAGTTTCTCCAATCTTCTCAAAACTCTGGATTATGATAGAGGGCTGTGAGACTTTGACCTGAGTGCAAAAATGGAGGCTCTAGACCCTTCCAGAGCTGAGATATCGAAACTCAAAATTTTCAACTCGAAAAAAAAACGACAGTGTTACCCCTTTCATTTTTTTTTCATTTTCGGGCCAAAAATTAAGTTTCTCAAATCTTCTCAAAACTCTGGATTATGATAGAAGGCTGTGAGACTTTGACCTGAGTGCAAAAATGGAGGCTCTAGACCCTTCCAGAGCTGAGATATCAAAATTCAAATTTCGACCCGGAAAAAAAAACGACAGTGTTACCCCTTTCTTTTTTTTTTCATTTTCGGGCGAAAAATTAAGTTTCTCCAATCTTCTCAAAACTCTGGATTATGATAGAGGGCTGTGAGACTTTGACCTGAGTGCAAAAATGGAGGCTCTAGACCCTTCCAGAGCTGAGATATCGAAATTCAAAATTTCGACCCGAAAAAAAAAAACAGTGTTACCCCTTTCGTTTTTTTTCATTTTCGGGCGAAAAATTAAGTTTCTCCAATCTTCTCAAAACTCTGGATTATGATAGAGGGCTGTGAGACTTTGACCTGAGTGCAAAAATGGAGGCTCTACACCCTTCCAGAGCTGAGATATCAAAAATTCAAAATTTCGACCCGAAAAAAAACGACAGTGTTACCCCTTTTGTTTTTTTTCATTTTCGGGCAAAAAATTAAGTTTCTCCAATCTTCTCAAAACTCTGGATTATGATAGAGGGCTGTGAGACTTTGACCTGAGTGCAAAAATGGAGGCTCTAGACCCTTCCAGAGCTGAGATATCAAAATTCAAAATTTCGACCCGAAAAAAAAAACGACAGTGTTACCCCTTTTGTTTTTTTTCATTTTCGGGCAAAAAAATTAAGTTTCTCCAATCTTCTCAAAACTCTGGATTATGATAGAGGGCTGTGAGACTTTGACCTGAGTGCAAAAATGGAGGCTCTAGACCCTTCCAGAGCTGAGATATCGAAATTCAAAATTTCGACCCGAAAAAAAAAACGACAGTGTTACCCCTTTCGTTTTTTTTTTTTTTCATTTTCGGGCGAAAAATTAAGTTTCTCCCATCTTCTCAAAATCTTGATTATGATAGAGGGCTGTGAGACTTTGACCTGAGTGCAAAAATGGAGGCTCTAGACCCTTCCAGAGCTGAGATATCGAAATTCAAAATTTCGACCCGAAAAAAAACGACAGTGTTACCCCTTTCATGG